TTAACATGTTCCCTATAATTTACAAGTATATCCAAAAGAGGACCTGGGAAGCTACAGGCCCATTAGTCTTATTCCAGTCCCTGGAAAGAGTTCTAGAAACCTGCAAGCCAAAGGAAGCAGGTTGTTGGGACAAGCCAATGCAGGTTTACTGAGGGCAAATTATGCCAGTATGCAGCTGTACAATGAAGGCAAATGGGATCCTGGGCTGCATCCATAGGGACATCGATCATCCCACGTAGCTGTGTCTAGCTCTAGTCCCCAAGTTCAACAGAGATGCAGGGAGAGTGGAGAGCACCTAAAGGAATTATGAGAGCCCACCCTGTGAGAAAAGACAGAATGGGTTTGGTCTCTTTTCCATGGGGAAAAGAAGGCTCACATTTTTCCAGTACTCAGGAAGGAGGAGGGAGGCTGTCCCAGTACCTGGATTGGTACCACACTGGAGAGGACAGGGGCAAATGATATAAGGTGCCTTGAGGGGGGTTTCATTTTAATACAAGAAAGAAATACTTTACTAAGGCATGTTGTCAAGTCCCTCCCCTTACTAGTAGTTTTCAAGACGTAATTGGACAGGATGCTGGATGATCTTATCTAGGCCTCTTTCCCTGAAAAAAATGGACCAGATGATCTTTCAGGGGTTCTTCCAACCTGGGTTTGTCTATGATTCTGTCGTTCTATATTGAACATTCAACTGTGCTTAGGAGTTAAGATGAAAGATAATGATCTGTACTCTGCCACCTTCATCTCAGTCTTGACACCTTGTAGGACTGGGCTCTTGATTGATCTCAGCATAGCCCAATAGGGACAGATGTTTTCTGTGATGGGCATGTCCTCAGTGCTGTGCACATAGACCAGTGCACATCTGCTCAGTCTCTGCTGCCCCCTGGCCTTGGTGCACTGGACCTGAGGGGACTGCTAGTTTGCAGTTCTGCCAGGGTCCCAGCACAAGCTCTACGCACAGCTGAACATGGCTTTAATAAATGAGATAGATTTAATGATGAAACTCTAGACCTAAAGCAGTCAAGTGACAAGTTTAAACTACCATACATTCAAATCCCAGATTATCAAAAAAGTAGATTCACTGCATTAGCCTATTTATCCCAGTGATTACTGGTACTTAGAAGTGAATTGAATGCAAGATCTCTAATAACAAGAAAGATGCTTGAATATGTAATTGTGTATTCCAGTCTTTAAACTTTAAATTAGAAGTAGTGCTTCAAAGTTATTTTATTGTTCCTGTACTACACTAAGTACAGAATTTTAAAATGTGACCACATTTTCAGTAGTAAATCACTTACTTTGAATAAGCTGTATGTTCATGAGGCTGTAGGTTTACATTCATTATTATTTTAAGATAAACAAAGCCCTTATTCTCCAAGCAGGATATCTGGCATTATGTCTGAATTTTTGCACTTTTAATTTCCTTTTTCTCATGGAACTACTTGCTCTTTCAGTAAAGGTGGTGTTTGAGGTTGCACCACATCTGTTTCCTGTTGTAGCCTATATTCTCAGTGTGATTTGCAGTATTCAGAATGGCCTCAGAATGTGAAACTCACACCACATTGTGGTTAAAAGCAGCATAAACCTCTGGAGACACTGCCTTGTAGCAGCTGAAGGTGGGTTTATGTGTGTGGGATTCTGTGGGGCTTCGCTGTGAGGAGCTGATCCATGTGGAGCTGGGGAAGGGGAAAGAGTCCAGAAAGAATTATAGCCAGGGACTTGGTTGTTGTCTAAGTTTGAGTATGTAAAAAGATGATGCTGAAATCCCTCGAAAGTAGTTGTTAAGTGATTGTTGCTTTTTGCTTTATTCTTCTTGTATGTATCACCTCTACATCCCTTGCCACTTCCCTTCTGCCTTACACCAGACTCTATGATTCTGTAGCCAATGGATGTAATTCTATTGAAATCACCTAATGTGCAGCCAAAGTCAATGGTGCCATGGAAATATAAATATATATATAAATATATATATATATATGTGTGTGTGTGGTGGTAGCTGACTGCTACCGTGTGTGTGTGTGTGTGTGTATATTTTGTGTGTGTATATATATGTGGTGGTAGTGGGCAAATGTTTATATTAGGCAACATAGTACAGATGTGCTCAGGTAAAATTGCAGTGGGAGCAGAGTGACAGGTATATGTAAATACATTCAGAAAGGGGCATGTTTTGTCTAGGAGGTGTAAAGCTATGTTTCAAAATAGCCTTTATTTGTCAAACCAAAAATTAATTAAAAGCAGTGTCATGGTTTGACACTGGCACAATGCCAGCACTCTCCGTTCTCTTTGCCTGACTCTTTTCAGTATAGGGGGAAGCTTATTTGAACAGCTCTTAAAGTTTGCCGAAAAAAATTCATCTGCACCACACACCTTCCAACTAATATTCTTTGCCAGTAGTTAAATTCCCTTAAATAGATAATTTTCTTTCTTTTATAAATACAAGGCAAAAAATGTAATTTAAAAAAACGATACTTGGTGATTGTGGTGCTTTATTGCTTATTACTGTGTGGTTTTAGTTGGTTCACTTTTCCACATTCTTCCATTCTGTGTATCTTGGTCTGCTCAACAATCACTAATTGTCATGTATTAATTAGTTGCAAATGGCTTATCTCTGTAGTTTAAGGGGGAGGGGGGAAACAAGTCACCACATTCAAGTTATCTGTTTTTGAGATACACTAATGCATATTAGTGCATTTGTAGAAGCATGCTCTGGACTCAAAAGTTTTGGTAAGCTAGTTCCATTAAGTAATTATGACCTTTTTTCAAAAGTAAATACAGAGCTTATTCCTACAATCCAGCAAATATGCAGTGTCCCTTTAGGGAAATGTGCACAAAAAGATTCAGTTCCTATTTTAATATACTAAGAGTAAGTGCCAAAATGTTGGGAAGTTTGACAAGGTATAGTTTTAAGGAGAAATTGAATAATTGTGAAGGTTATAGATTTTTTCCCACATTTAAAGGGAATTTATAAATATTTTATTACACTGTATCCTGGGAAAGGTGTGTGTTTCAGTTCCATTTCTCTATTCCTTTCTTCTCATATGTGCCTGGGTAAGAGTTGCTCCAAATTAGCATTTCTTGTGATCTGGGAAGATATTCTGGCCACCAGCTATCATCACTCTAGTCTGACATACTAAACCAGTTGATCCTGAAGGTTGTCATTGCATAAGTCTTTGAGTTTGAGCCATGAGAAGGACGGGAAGCCATATAGATTTGTTTGCGGTTATTCCATAAGTGAGAGAGATTTGAAAACAGTGGTTTAATAAACCACCCCTTTTCCAGTCACTTACTTAGAACATGCTTGGATGGTGGGAAGGATGTTTCAGGTATTAGTATGCTACCTTGGATTTTATGAATCACATTACTTCTGAAAGTTTTTATATTAAGGTTTGTTGGAAGTTTTTTCCTGGTTTTGGAAGAGTGGTATATCTACTATAAATTTAAGCTATGGCCTTGAAACAAGTAGAAATATTTCAGAGGGATTTTTTCTGAAAAATTGCAGCACTGAAATGAACAGGGTCTATGCCTTTATTAGTGTTCAGCTCTTTATTAAAAAGTCAGCTCGGCAGGGGGGTGGTGTAGCTTCTTCCGGTAGCCAAAGGGTGAGAAGTCATGCAGAGTCTGTCCCTGGAGTCTCCGTGGCACACTGGTAGCCGGAGGTGCAGAGGTGTCCAGTCTGTATCTGAAGTCCCAGCAGACCATCCTCTCTCCTTTCCTCCTGGCACACTGTTAGCTGAAAGGTGGGGGGGATGTGCAGAGCCTGCTGCCGAGATCCAGCAGCAGCTATCCCTCTCCTTCCCTCCTGGTAACACCAGGTAGAGTGTCTGATTCCTTGTGCCTGCTTCCCACAGCCCAGTCCAATCTGATCCTCTGCAGGTTATAGTGACAGGTCAAACACAGACTAGGGATGGGGCTCCCTTTTCCCCAACCAGCACACCCATCCAGCCCCCTCCACTGTGCCCCTCTTTTTCATTTTGGGGTGTTTTTCATCCCCAAAACCCCCTCCCATGATTCCACTGGATTATTTTGCATCCCAGTCCTAGTTTGGGTGGGGGTGTAGGTGATTCCCAGGAGCAATTGGCTAATTAACATTTCAATGTCCGTACTTAGTTCAAGCCAAGTATCCCAGTCAGGCTGTTTTGTTCATAACAGCACGGAACCATTTTTAAGCTTGCCTTAAAACATGGGACTCTATTCCTGTCAGTATGGTAATTTTTATAATAATATTTGACATTCATAAGGCACTTGATCACTTGAACATGCATACATATGTGTAATTAATCCTTTCAGTGCATCACTAAGGAAGTTAGGTATTACTCCTTTTTAACAGTAGAGAAAAATGACACAGTAAATTTAAGTGTCTTGGTCAAAGGCATGTAATTATTTACAGACTACAGCTGTTCCTTGTAGTAAAAAAAAATTGCTGTACTTAATTTTGAAGAATGTAAAACTGATTCCTTATTCAGACAGGGGAATATAAATATACTCTGTAGATCTTCTTCGCTGTTTGCCTCCCAGTATTTGTGTGGGGTCTCCTCTTAATGCTCTCTGTAATATGGACTAAGCTCACTTGGGAGGGGCTGTGGACTAGAAGATTCTGAGCCAGAACTCTCTGGCCATTACAAATTTGTCTTCATTTGTGTAAAACACAGTGCTTCCTCTTTAAAACTAAACCAAAATTCATGTCAGAAATGAGAGAGTCATAACAGGAGTAACTACTATTCCATAATAATAGTTCATAAAGCAAAGGTAACAAGTGTTGTGTCATAATTCCACATTACGATCTGGTTATGAGACTAACCTTCTAAATTAATCTTTTAGACTAAGTACCTGTTAATAAAGAGCCTCTTCTTTTTTATTAGGGCACTGTGTAACATTGATAGCATTATAATGCATAGGAGATTATTTTTTAATTTGAAGTCTGAGCATGGAGCAGCTAGTTTGTTAATCTGCCAAATAGTGGCAGGTTTGTTCTATACATCTGAAAAGTTTGTCTATATTCATAGGTCATGAATGCTGATGGAACTGGTAGGAGAGTCCTGGTGGAGGACAAGCTGCCTCATATATTTGGATTCACTCTGTTGGGAGACTACATTTACTGGACAGACTGGCAAAGGCGCAGCATTGAGCGTGTGCACAAGTGCACGGCAGAGAGAGAGATCATCATCGATCAGCTACCTGATCTGATGGGCCTGAAAGCCACCAACGTACACCAGATCATTGGTGAGTGGTCTGCTAATCAGCCAAGGGAGAATGTGATAGAAAATGTCAGCAGTGCTGTACTGCAGAGTTTTAGAAATGGGCAGAATTCAGTCCTATGGTATGATGACTGCAGGCTGCAGCTTGATAGGGTGGGTTAGGTCTTCTCTGAGGAGCTTCCAAGTTCTGTAGCTTGGAAGAATATCAAGCTGAACATGTGCTCCCAGTATGCAAAAGCTAAGAATGAGCCAGTTTTAGTCCATTCAGTAGTTTTTACATTAATATTAGAAAATTATCCTTAAAAATACCTAGAAGTACTTCCTGACCTGTAGCGTTTGTGGTGTAAAAAGCAGCATCTAGCTTTAAATTGCCTATCCTAAGCTATCCAAACAATGGTAGCAGTATAATTGTAGCATCACAGAACTCATCACAATACTTGAGTATCCTGCTATGTGGATACTTGCAGCTTGCAGCTTCTCACTGTCATGTCTGGATTCTACTGCAGGAAACAAGTGAAATATAGTTGATATGTATCTTTGTGTGGCTGATGCCCCAAGGGGTGCATGTTTTGAATGCAGCCCTTTTTTCAACTGTTTGGCCAATTGAACTTCTTAGTGCCAAGCCTCTCTTAGTTCAATTTCCAGCATGTGCAGGTACATAAGTGAGTACTGAAAAGAGCTGCTTCGCGTGCATCCTGGAGAGACCATTGAATGGATGTGAAAATACTTCTGCAAGTTTTTTACCTGCAGGAATGCAAGGGGGTATGTAGCTGGACCAGTGTACTGTAAAAGGCAGCAGAACATACACTTACCATGCATTCAGTGCTTGTGCTGTGAATTTGGATCATCAGTAGCTGGTGAAGCACAAATCCCTTTCCCTAGTGCTGGGTTTGTTTCTTGGCGTAAGGAAAACAATCACTGGCTTTCCAGCCAAGGAGAGTAAGGTCTGCCTAAAGTATTACAGAAAATGAATGAAAAATAATTTGATCAGAGAATACAAGGAGAAAAACTGCATGTTAGCTTGGAGGACTTATAGTGTGGCTGATGCACGTGAGTACTAGCTTCACCTTTCACCTGCAGTCAGTTTGCAATGGTTGCTTTTCCTCTCGTTGTCTGCTTAGGTACAAACCCCTGTGCAGAAGACAACGGTGGCTGCAGCCACCTATGTCTGTACCGACCGCAAGGCCTTCGCTGTGCCTGCCCCATTGGCCTGGAGCTCATCAGCGACATGAAGACCTGCATCGTGCCAGAAGCTTTCCTGCTCTTTTCCAGGAGAGCAGACATCAGGCGCATCTCCCTAGAAACCAACAATAACAACGTTGCTATTCCGCTCACTGGGGTCAAGGAAGCTTCTGCTCTGGATTTTGATGTGACAGACAATCGCATTTACTGGACTGACATTTCACTGAAGGTAGAGATTTAGTCCATGTTGGCTATTAAGCTACTACATGCTCCTTGAGATCTTTAAGAGCAGGTTGATTAATGGGGTTTACAAAATTCAAGGGATATGTAAAAGAGTTTCGTTTTTAATTAGATTTTCTGCAACTGACTTGAGACATATGCCAACAATAACTTATGGACTTTTGCAACTGGAGAATCACAGTAGTTGAAAACAGAGTTTAAATGAGTCTGCAAGTGGTGACTTGGCTGAGCTCCCTAAGCATGATATTCTTTTGAGCTGTGTAAGTGATACACATGAAGACTGATCTGTAAACTGCCCTGCTGTGTGCTGTCACAAACTGGCATAATTAGCAGATTGTGTTCAAACTGGGAGGTAAACCAAAATCAGGGATTTTTTTAACTTCTGATTAGTTGTGAGTATAAGAAATGTGTGCAGATAGGAATATTGAGGACATGGAAAGGTAGCCCATGTTTGCCAAAATAATTCTGTACTATTCTAGCATTTTCAGGCTTATCAGGGAATGCCTGAACTCTAATATATTATTAAAATGGTATTCTAGCTGCATCTGCTACCACAGGCTGATCCTGATGGCAGAGTTTAAAAAAGACTTTTGAATAAAAATCCAAGAAGAGATTGTGCTTAGTGAAATTAAATTTAGCCATCAGTACTGAAGCTACTGAACTCATCGGTTGTTCAGTTGTTTTCTAGTTCCTGTTCTATCCTGCACTTTTTTTTTCATTTGGCTACTTTAAATAGTGTTCCATGCTGTAACATTGATGCTTTTGTATAGTCCTGGGAGACCTAAAATATTTCCCCCTCAAAGCTGGCACTGAGTTATTAAGGTCACTTGGTCATGTAGATGCTTCATTCAACCAGACTAGTTATCCCATTTATTTCCCCAGTGAAATGCTATTGTAGTTGACACAGAATACATTCACAGAGTGGAATAAATCATTACTTCTGAATAGCAGCATTGTTTGCTGTACAAATAAGTAGCATATTGTAAGATACTCTTTCCTATGAGATGTCTAAAATATGAAAGTGTTTAAAATTCAACAAAGAAAACAAGCAGCCCAGTGACAGGCTGGTAAGTTTTCTAATTTGCCTGTGTATCTTTGTATTCATGCAGACCATCAGCAGAGCATTTATGAATGGCAGTGCGCTAGAACATGTTGTGGAGTTCGGCTTGGATTATCCTGAGGGCATGGCTGTGGACTGGCTGGGGAAGAACTTGTACTGGGCTGACACTGGCACAAACCGGATCGAGGTGTCCAAGCTGGACGGCCAGCACCGCCAGGTGCTTGTGTGGAAAGACCTCGACAGTCCCCGGGCACTGGCACTCGACCCTGCTGAGGGGTAACTTGCTGATTTAATTCTGTGTTTATAAACAGTGAAAAACAACATTGTAATGCTTCCTCTAGAGCATGGTAGTTAAGCACTGCCTGTAAACCCTGAGAGAACTGAGCTGCGGAATATACAACCTGGCAGTTTAGAGAAATTAAGACACTCTTAATGTCCTGAATGATCATTAAAAATAAAAAAAAAAATACCCCAGAGAGCAGCTCATTAGAAAGGGATTTATATTTAGTTTTATGATTGTTATAAATGAGAATTTATTCAGCCAGATTAAAAATAAAAGTAATTTTATTAGCGGTCAAATTCTATCTAGCCAGCCACAGAAAAAGACAGTGCTGAGCCCGGGGTCAGCCCTCTGTGTGCAAAAAGGAGTCAGCCTCAGGAGAGGTTTTCCCCTATGCCCACACACCTCCATCCTGGCCCAAGCGGTTTTTATAGGGAAAATTCCGCCTGAGGCCAAGATTTCAGCAATCAGTCTTTTCTTCTATTCAGAGTCTGTGGGAACTCAAAATGTCTCTCAGACATTTTTAGAGGTTCCAGGCCTTGGTCAGAAGCATTTTAGACCCTGGCAGGCAGCTGGAAACAGCTGTGATTTTGAGTTTGAGCCATGGAATGAGTTACCAACTTTGGAGGTGGAACAAGCAGTCACAAAAGGTTAGATAGTATAGTAAAAGTAGTTACAAAACAGAGGGGAAATTTTTTTTAGTATTGTACAAGGGGGTTTTAACACTTGTACAGGGAGGTTTTTACTTTGTACATGGGGGTCAGAAGTTCTAAGATGGAGGAAAGCGGGCTGATCCTGTTCTTCCTCCTTCTTCTTCCTTGCCTCCATGTTCTTGGTGATGTTGGCACTCACAGATTGCTTTAGAGTAGAAAAGCACTTGGTAATATAGGTAGTAGGTATTGGGGGAAAACTATAAACATGTAATACGTAATATATCATATAAAAGATAGCAGCAGCCCTGAGTGGGGGGAGAGAAGAAGAAGACAGCAGACAGAGAGGATGTCAGGGTGTGTGTGTGCCTCTGCCCAGGCCACTGACCAAACAGCCACAGCCCGAGAAGACAATCTTTTACATAACCAACAATAAACTGCCTTGAGACCGAACAGCAAGAGCCTGCGCAGTTTTTCTTTGGAATCAAAAGTTGGAGGAGAAATTTCACCACCACATGGGACCCCAGAGCAAGGCTGGGGTTCTCACAAGAGTCCATAGGTTAATAAGAATTTCTTTTTTGGTGATGAGGAGGAGTAATTCAGTGTCCGGAGTAGGTGAATCCCTGATGAGATTTTACGGGAAGGCTGCATTCACATGTGTTTGTCTGAGGATTTCCATGATATCCATCTTGGGCTGTTTATACGATGATCAGCACCCGATGATCAACACCTGGAGTCCCGATGGTCAGCACCTGGAGTCCAGACATGGCCCATCTCCTGGCCGAGCCACATCCTTTTACTTGTAAATCACTTTCCAATATACATCCAGTCTCGTCTGCAGCGGGGGGAACTAATACAAACGGGCATAATCGAACAAGTATCCAATATTACATATTTCATACAAGGAATGGCACGAATTATATTTACTACACATAACATAATTAACGACAGAATCAAAGTAGTTTTAGGGTTATGGAATTCATTATTTAGAAAAGGACTATAGCTTTGAAAGGAATATATTTATCATTTTAGAATGTAGGATTCTTTTTATCACAAGTTAGGGTCCAATAAAGGTATTAAATTTTTTAATTTGAGGATGGGAGAGCAAAGTTTATATCTGAGCATAAGGAAGGTATTTATTTATTCAGATAAGGAAACCTTTTAGTTTGTACAGAAAAGGGAAGAAGGACAGAGAAGGAGGGGAAACAATTATATACACCTATGCCCCAAATGAAAGATTTTCTGAGAAGATACTTCTCAGTTGAAGTGTAATAGCAAAAGTAGGGCAATAAACAGGGAGAGGGAGGAAGGAATGGGGCAAATCAAGCTAACTATTCAGCTTCTGAAATAGCTCTTCTACCCTGAAACACTCACTTGACAATAACTAATTACTGCAAAAACTTTTTGAGGTTATACCAATATTGCATTTTTTTTCCAAATGAATGAGCTAAATTTACAAGGCTTATGACATTATCACAGTTCCCAGTCACACTGTGAGAGCTACAGCAATGCAGAGAACTTGAAACACATTCCTTCTGCTTTATTTCAACAAGGTGGTGGCAATGGTCACCTCCACTGGGATCCTAGATTGGATTCAGCCCTGATGTGCCAGGGGTTGCCTGGATGAGAATTCAACATCAGATTCTTAGATCCAGTTACTCATTTGTAACAAAAGGCTGCTATGGATGATTCTGGTTTTACACTGGAAGTAGGTTTTTCCCAAGGATTATCATCATTCAGTGCTTTGTCTCTTCACTACAGATCAGAAAAAAAATTACTTGGGTCAGAATGCCTGTTTTTCCTTACAGCAATAGTATAGCTGTATACTTATATATATATGCATACTTGTATCAATATGCATACTATATAGTTATACTTTAAATGGAAGTTTTCAAGGCATTGCTGCCATAGGGGGCAATTCTAACACTTGACACTGTGCTGTGTCCAACTTGTAAAATGTATACACAAAGTACTTGCAAAAATTTTAAGAGAAATTTGCAAGTATTCTTGATGTCTGATGAATTTCTACCTGCTGATCATCAGTTTCTGAAGTAACCTTTCCTATTGTGCAGTTGGCTGCAACTGAAAGACTTTTTGGGGGGGTTGTTACTAGAGTTATTAAAGCCCCAAAAGGTGTAAATATTGGATAGCTGCCTCTCACTTTTATTTTGGAATGGTATCAGCTTCATATTTTGGAAGTGACTAACTAGCCATCAAATATATAATATACAAATATACATCCTACTCTATTGTGCAGTGCCTAAAGAAAATGTAAACATGTGCAAGTCTGTCATTCTTCCAAATGAGGCATAAGCTGGCATGTGAGTGTGTAATAATTGTATTTTTGCTCCAGTGGAAATGCCATACAGTTTTGTGTGTCTTGGCTGAGATGTAGGACACTCGTGTACATGACTGGTTGACTTAGTTGTGTGAACATGAGTAGTAGCACCTATTAACAAAAGTACCCTGCAGATCTACCTTTTTGTGTTCCTTCATTTGTGAGACAACTGACTAGAAACAGAAGATTAAGTGCTCTAGAAACACACCCTGCTAAATAATCAGGTGTAAATGAAGCTGCCTGACTGCCAGTTTCTGCTTCTTAAATGACATACATGGATTAGTACTATCAAAGTGCTGTCACACAGAACTTGCTGGTGAAAATCCAGGTCCAAGTGGGAAAAAATAATGTTGGAAGCATTTTGAGGAAACTTGACTCTTCACTACAAGAGTCTTGCCTCTACTTTGGGGGAAAAAAAAAAACAACCTAATTTAGCACAATGAGTCTTCATAAATGCTTGAATTTACAGCTCTTCTTTTTCTCTTATGCTTTCTAAGGATTATTGTTTTGATTTTCCTCTTGAGTTCTCTTGGATTGAATGCAATAATTTTTCTTTCTTCTGAATCTTTAATCAGGTTCATGTACTGGACTGAGTGGGGTGGCAAGCCAAAGATTGACAGAGCTGCTATGGATGGCAGTGAGAGGACCACATTGGTGCCAAATGTGGGACGTGCTAACGGCCTGACCATTGACTACACCAAGAGGCGCCTGTATTGGACGGACCTGGACACCAACCTGATAGAGTCCTCCAACATGTTAGGTGAGCCCCAGAGACCTAGGCAGCATCCTGAGGTAATGCTGCTTTTTGCAGCTCCCTCTTGGCAAATTGTGGCTTAAATAATGCAAAGATGCACATCATAAGACAAAAATAAAATTTCCCAACCTCATATGCCTTTAATGTTTGGTTCTGTAATTCATGTTCATGTAAAACTGTGGTTAGCATGGCCTCAATTTTCTTGTGATTTGGTTGCTCAGAAAGTTAAAATTATGCAAGGTATACATATTTCCAGTTATATGTAGGAAAAATATGTCATCCTGTAGTATTTTGGAGAGTCTTGCTTTGCTATTCTCAAGAGCACTAGAAAATACATAGCAAAGGTAGAAAGTCAACAAGAAGATAACATCTTACTCAAAATGTAATTTAATACAATTTGATTTTATATCTTTGTTAGTATCCTCAAGCATTTTCTTGCCCTGTATTCTGCATGTTAATGACATTTTCCTGGCTAGTGTTTATCAGCAGGAGAGTCCTTTTGTGCTGGGGTCTGTGATGATTTTATAAATTGGTTATTGCAGCTAAATGGAGGTGGAATATTTTATTCTTTCACTGTTCCAGAGTACTGTGTGGAAGACCTAGACCCTCTCAGATTTCCACCTTGTTTTAACTTCTCAGCACTCACAGGAGTGAGCTGCCTTGTTGTATACTAAATTGTTCAGATTAGCATTAACAATAGCCAATATTTAAGCATTAATAATTAGCCAGTATTTAATGCTAAAGGAATTAGTCTGCTTTAAACAGTATGCTTGCAGTAGTGCAACAAAGCTAGAAAAGTATCAAAACAGGAAAATGCAATATGGGAATTATGCGTGATAGAAAAGCTTTTCTTCAGCTTCTAATATATTTTGGTATGCAGGTGGAGGCCTGCTCCATGTTTCCATCTGAAATGTGGGACTGGAAACAGCATTAGAGCTTCTTTTTCTCTGTGCCTGTGGCTGGTGACAGCACAGATGCCTGTGGGGCTGTGTATCCTTGACTTCTGTGTGCAAAGAGGCAATGACTTCGTGCTTCATAATCTGTTCATTTTATGTGACTACACAGCAGGAGGTACCATGGTAATGAAGTGGTTGATAAAACAGAGTTGAAATAATTTCCCCCTGCCACATCCTGTTTCTTAATATCTCTTAACATTTCCATGGTATACAAAATTAGCTGTTCCCCGACTTTTTGTCTGCTCTAGAATGTTGTGATATTCCAGAGACAAGTTATTTTAGCCTTGTACATTTAATTTTTCTCATAATGCAATGTAGTATTTCATTAAACTCAACAATTTTCTTTTTATAAGCAGCGGGTAAAGTGCAGTGCCAAGAGATGCTCAACTGGAAATACAGTGAGGATCCTGCATTAGATTGAGAGGCATTCTACCAGTTTTGGAAAGGAAGGAAAGGACAGAATCTTTCTGAGAACCCTGATAATTTTTTTCTTCAGTAAACTACTTTTTTTTCTGTGAATGGCAAGCAGGATTAGCACGTTTCTGTGACAGACTCTGAGATTCCTTTTGACTACTGTACATTACTTTGTAATTTACTGTTGTAATGATGAAAGAGTAACTGTAAAGTAATTGCGTGGTAACCTTTCTAGGCAGGGGACATGTCCAACAGTACATTGCTTGTGCCCATGTCACTCAGCTTTTTCTCTCTCTTCTTTTTGGACACAGGCCTTGACCGTGAGATCATAGCTGATGATTTGCCTCACCCCTTTGGCCTGACCCAGTACCAGGATTACATTTATTGGACAGACTGGAGCCGGCGCAGCATCGAACGAGCCAACAAGACCAGTGGCCAGAACCGAACCATCATCCAGGGCCACCTGGATTACGTTATGGACATCCTGGTCTTCCACTCCTCCCGGCAGGCAGGCTGGAACGAGTGTGCCTCCAGCAATGGGCACTGCTCTCACCTGTGCCTGGCAGTCCCCGTGGGAGGGTTTGTCTGTGGCTGCCCAGCTCACTATTCCTTGAACTCTGACAACAGGACCTGCAGTGGTAAGCCATAAGGAATGAACAGGAAATACAGAAGCAGATGTGTTTAGTAACCCATGCCAGCATTGTACTTGGAGGAAAGAAGAGTTTTGCAGTTTTCCAGTAGTAATATCTTACTGAATTTTAAGACAACATAGGATATTGAAAACAAACAAAAAAAAAAAAGGCTGTTAGTGAACTTTTCCAGTGGCTTAGCTACATATGTGTAAACACAAAAGCTAAACATGTAAACGTGTATTGGTTTTGTGTCTCTGTCAGACCCTCTTCAAGTGCTTACTTGCTTGTTTATTTATCTGCTTATGTATTCCTAGTCTTTCCTGGCATAAAGGATATGTGATATTTTAGTCTGGATTCTAGATTTCGTGCAGCTTTTATGGGGTCAGGATTTCATTCTGTAGTAGCTGTGTTAGCTGGCTGATGAGAAGCTGAGGTGGGCCACTCTCAGACCTCTACAAGTGTTTTTCCTCAGTGAGAATGGGTTGGGCTCCATGGCTTCCCCAGCAGTCTTGTTCCTGATCTCAGTGCAGCCAAGCCCCATTTTTCTTTATTGTTGTGCAGAATAGAAACTGCAAGGCCCCTCAGGCTGTGTGTAATTAGTTTCTAACCAAATAATTTATCCATCTCTCAATAACTGGCTGCAGTGAAACTCTTATAATTTTGGCAGCAACTTTGGATGGCTGATTTCCACTAATGTCATTCACATTAGTCAGTGGGGGAAGAGATTCGTGGTACAGAGAGACAGATGGTATCTCACCCACATTATGCATGAGCAGAGACATCCAACTTTGTCTTAAAGCCGAAAGCTGGGCAGATTGTTGCAGAAATGCCACCTCATGGCATTTTTTGAAAACCATACTTTTCAAAAAACTGTGCTTTTCTACTCCCCTTGTGTTCTGTACTTCAACCCTCATTTTTTTATTACAATGGCCCCTTGCATGACAGCTGGATTCTTGCACCCTGGTACTTTCATGTGTTCGTGAAGTAAGAGGCATAGCTGGCATCTCTCTGTTAGTGACTGTGATTTTCTAGGTGGAGGAATTTGGCTTCCAGTGGAGAAAAAGTAGCAGAATGATCAAAGGTCATGTTTTTCTTGTGAAAATGCTCCTTGAAGCAGAGCAAGGAGCAAAATATAGGAAATACATTGCGAGCAAACAGAACCATTTCCCCATGGTACAGTTGAGGGCTCTTTGTGTGGTATCAGGAGTTTTCCTCTGCTATATTCAAACCTGGGAAATTTCCAGCTTCTCATTTGTAGCTAATTGGAGATTTAGGCCTCTCTGCGTATAATTTAATTCCTTTTTCTGGACACTATAATTGGAGCATGATTTGTTTTAACTTTCTTTTGCCTGTATTACTTGCTTATGTACTTCCTGAACATTATTAGTCCAGGCCCCGTCTAGGAGGTCTTCCCTTCAGGAATACCCTGCTCATGCATGCATAGGTTCTTTTAATTATACTCTGGGGAGATCTCTTCATACCTACCACATGTCATGAAGTTGGAAGGCAGGGTTACACAGGAGACATACTCAATGCACTCCATTTGCCTGCTTCCAAAACTACAGTTAAAATATGTGACTGTTGGGAGGGAAAATGATGAAAACTGGAAAGGGATTTCTGAAATTGGTACTGCTTCAGAAATGTGGAGTCTCAAGGGAAAAAATTCTGCTGTTGCTTTTTATAATGAGCCATAAATTCAAAGCTGTAAGCCAGGCAGTCTTAGAAAGTAAGAGGGTATCTTTGGGGAAGAGTAGAAATAATTTTAGGTGTTTACATGTTTACCTGCATTGTTTTACCTTAAGTTTTTTCCTTTTCCATTTCTATTGTAATTTCTTGGTAAGAATTCTGATGTTTCTGAATCCATTATTTTGCTGTACATATTTATATAAA